AGAGCCTGAATAGAATATAGGGCATGAATTTCTGCAAATATTAAGTAATTTTATTTTTTAAAATTTTTTTTACAAACCAGTGTAACCAGTGAAAGGAGGCGCTTAGCCTTCAGAAAATGCTGGTTGTAAACAGGAGGTTAAACCAAATTTTTGGTTTGAGAGCTGTTTTGTTTTCTCTTCACTTTATATTAGGTTTGCACATTTTTGGCAACCTTGGTACCAAAATGTCCAGATAAAACCCTGATGTCTGTTTTTTTTTATTTTTTTTTATATTATTCTAGCAGCAAGCATTAGATGAACATCAAAATGAAATAGTTAAAATAAATACATAAATTAATAAATATAAACAAACAAATAAAAATATTAAAATGGGTTGTGTAAAAGAACAGAGTTGTAAGTAACAGGGTGCAAATTTAGCCTAAATGAAGGTATTACACAGTGGTCGCTGCCTAGTTTATCTGTAAAACATATCTAAAAAAGTGCCTCTAATGCCGTATTTGTGTAATATTTTTCAATGTCATTCTTTGCTTGCTATGATCTGATAAGACACACATAAGCCTGAGGTCATGTCTTGCATCTGTGACATCTATTTCCCCTGAAACCCTTGCAGTGCAACCCTGTATCCGTCATGCACACAGCACAACCACAGGTTCATTAGGGTTGTGTGGCTGTAAAGCATTGAAAGCTTGTAACTATTAAACATGGTGCAAGCAACTGAACACATGGGTCTTGAATAGCTCTAATTAAATAAACTGCTGAACCAATCGGAATTGAACCTTTAGCAATATCCGTGCAAAGACTGCTATTGTGAACTGCATCCCAGCGTGCATGAGCAGATTAGGCATGCATTTTCTATTTATATGTGATTGAAGAAAACAAAATCTGAAAATGTGGCCCACATGAATATTTATGCATTGTGAGATCAGATGAAATGCTGTATTCAAAACACTTAAAGGGGTCATATGATGTGATTTCAAATTTTCCTTTCTCCTTGGAGTGTTACAAGCTCCTGGTGCATAAAGAAGATCTGTAAAGTTGCAAAGACTAAAGTCTCAAATCCAAAGAGATATTCTTTATAAAAGTGAAGAGTCAACCACACCTACCTAAATCGGCTCGTTCCAACATGCCCCCACATGTCTACGTCACGACGTGGGAAGATTTGCATAACACCCGGAGTCCAGCCCGGGGTCGTCACATGTGGTTGCCGCAAGCCCTCCGGACGCTCCTTCGTAGAATCCGCCGGCCGCGCCGTTCTCAAGCCTGCCTACCTCTGCTCACTCTAGCCGGCCTCTGCTCACTCTAGGCCGCAGCTCACTCTAGGCCTCCGGCCTCCGCTCACTCAAGGCCGCGGTGTGTGACGCTGTTTCGTTGTGAAAGCGAAA